CGTCGGCGTCGTCGTCGTCGGTGTTGTCGTCGTCTTTGTCGTCGTCGTCGAAGTCGTTGGGGACGTCGTCGGTGTCGTCGTAGTCGTTGTCGGCGGCGTCGTCGTCGTCGTTGTCGCTGTCGTCGTCGGCGTCGGTGTCGTTGCAAAGCGCCATTTGGTACCCACCGTCACGGTCTTAAGAGGTCTTGCGACCAAGTTGCGGGTGGGAGGGTGGGACGTTTGCACGAGAAGTGGAGAGGAGGATCGCTTCAAGTTGAGCAAGTAATTAATTCTCAGTTATTCTCCGTTATTCTCCTTTCTAAAAAGAGAATAGACTCTACCCCCCCCAGCGTTATCGCCCCCTTTTCGGGTATGTAAATCACATATGATTATGACCACATGTCCATCCTAAAAATGAAATCACAATGTCCCAGGCCAACCGGGTTCCCCCCCCTGAGGTTCCTTTGTAAAAAGCATTATGCGGTGACATTTTTTGTTCTAACATGATACTTTTCCACGAATCCCTTGCAACAAATAGGACGAAGTGCACACGCGCGCGTCGTCGCGCGCGCATGCCGAAATCCTTCAAAAACCTTCGGTGCGGGAAGGATTTCGCAATCGAGTTTCCAAAACACATACAAAAGCACAGGGTTTCGTAACACTGATTTGCTAAAAAAGCTTCCGCGCGAGCTCTTGCGAAATCTTAAGAAAACCATTGGTTTTTCGAGATTTTCACAAAATGCTACCGAACGGGCGTCGCGCGCGCATGTCGAAATCTGTCGAAACCCCTTGCGCGTGTGCCGTCGCGAGAATGCTCTGCAAAAAACGAGACGAAGTGCACGCGAGCGTCGTTGCGCGCGTACGCCGAAATCCTTCACAACCCATCGGTTTCGGAAGGATTTCAAAGTCGCGCGTCCAAACAACCTACAACAACACAAGGTTTCGCAACACGGATTTTCAACAAAAGCGTGCGCGCGCGCTCTTGCGTCGTCGTCGTCGTCGTCGTCGTCGCCGTCCTCCCTCCTCCCGCGTCGTCGTCGTCATCGCCTACGTCGTCCCGTGTCTTTCCTCGTGTTCGTCGTCGTCCTCTTTGGAGTCGTGGTCGTTTCCGTCGTCGTTGTCGCCATGGTCATCCTTCCTCCTCCTCCCTCGTCGTCGTCGTCGTCCGTCGTCGGCGTCTCGTCGTGGTCCCTCCTATTTCGTCGCCGTCGTCTCGTCGTCGTCGTCGTCGTCGTCGTCTTCCCTCCTCCCTCGTCGTTGTCGTCGTCGGCGTCGCCGTCCTTCCTCCATCTTCGTCGTTCGCGTCGTCGCCGTCCTCCCTCCTCCCTCGTTGGCGTAGTTGTCGTCGTTGTCGTCGTTGACGCCGTCGTCGTCCTCCCTCCTCCCTCGTCGTCGTCTTCGTCGTCGTCGTCTTCGTCGTCGTCGGCGTCGGCGTCGTCGTCGTCTTCGTCGTCGTCGACGTCGGTGTCGTCGTCGTCGCCGCCGTCGTCGTCGTCGTCGTCGTCGTCGTCGGCCGTCTTGCTTCTCCGGCCTTCTTGGGGCGCACTTGAGACGCCCCCGAGGGCTCCAAGACGACCCCAGAGCGATATCTGCGTTCGGTCCCGCATGGGTTTTGCAAACCAAGTTGCGGGTGGGTGGGTGGGAGAATTGCGCGAGTAGTGGAGTTGACAACTTCAAGTTCGGCAAGTGACTAGAAAGAGAATAGACTCTACCCCCCCCCCGGCGTTATCGCCCCCCCCACGTCCTATGTAAGTCACATGATTCTGACCACATGTCCATCCTAAATATGAAATCACAATGTCCCAGGCCAACCGGGTTCCCCCCCCCTGAGGTTCCTTTGTAAAAAACACTATGCGGTGACATCTTCTGTTCTAACATGAGACTTTTTCACGAATCCCTTCCAACAAATGAGGCGAAGTTCACACGCGCGCGACGTCGCGCGCGCATGCCGAAATCCTTCAAAAACCTTCGGTGTCGGAAGAATTTTGCAATGGAGTTTCCAAACCACATACAAAAAGCACAGGGTTTCGCAACACTGATTTGCTAAAAAAGCTTCCGCGCGAGCTCTTGCGAAATCTCAAGAAAACCATTGGTTTTTCAAGATGTTCACAAAATGCTACCAAACGGGCTTCGCGCGCGCATGTCGAAATCTGTCGAACGCCCTTGCGCGTGTGCCGTCGCGAGAATCCTCTGCAAAAAATTGACGAAGTGCAGACGCGCGCGTCGTTGCGCGCGTATGCTGAAATCCTTCAAAACCCATCGGTTTCGGAAGGATTTCAAAATCGTGTGCCCAAAAAGCCTACAACAACACAAGGTTTCGCAACACGGATTTTCAACAAACGCGTGCGCGCGCGCTCTTGCGTCGTCGTCGTCGTCGTCGCCGTCCTCCCTCGTCGTCGTCGTCGTCGTCGTCGATGTCGTCGTCCTCTGTCTTTCCTCGTCGTCGTCGTCGTCGTCGTACTCGTTGGCGTCGTGGTCTTTTCCGTCGTCGTTGTCGCCGTGGTCGTCCTCCCTCCTCCTCCCTTGTCGTCGTCGTCGTCCGTCGTCGGCGTCTCGTCGTGGTCCCTCCTATTTCGTCGCCGTCGTCGTCGTCGTCGTCGTCGTCGTCGTCGTCTTCCCTCCTCCCTCGTCGTTGTCGTCGTCGGCGTCGCCGTCCTTTCTCCCTCTTCGTCGTTCGCGTCGTCGCCGTCCTCCCTCCTCCCTCGTCGTTGTCGTCGTTGTCGCCGTCGTCGTCCTCCCTCCTCGCTCGTCGTCGTCGTCTTCGTTGGCGACGTCGTCGTCGTCGTCGGCGTCGGCGTCGTCGCCGCCGTCGTCGTCTTCGTCGTCGTCGACGTCGTCGTCGTTGGCGTCGTCGACGTCGTCGTCGTCGGCGTCGTCGTCGTCGGCGTCGCCATCGTCGTCGCCGTTGTCGTCGTCGTCGGCGTCAGCGTCATCGTCGTCGTCGTCGTCGTCGGTGTTGTCGTCGTCGTCGTCGGCGTCGGTGTCGTTGTCGTCGTCGCCGAAGTCGCCGCAGACGTCGTCGGTGTCGTCGAACTCGTCGTCGGCGTCGTCGTCGTCGTCGGCGGCGTCGGTGTCGTCGCCAAGTGCCATTTGGAACCTACCGCCACGGTCTGAAGAGGGTTTGCAAACCAAGTTGCGGGTGGGTGGGTGGGATGTTTGCAAGAGCATGGGATGTGTCACGTCATGGGTAAAAATCATTAAAAAGAAAATAGACTACCCCCCCCCGGCGTTATCCGTTCCCCTTCCGGATATGTAGATCCTATATGATTCTGACCACATGTCCATCCTAAATATGAGTTTACATTATCCCAGGGGAACCAGTATCGGTCCCCCTGAGGTTCCCTTGTAAAAAACGATACGTGGGGACATTAGTTGTTCTAACATAAGACTGTGTCGCGAATCCCTTGCAAAATATGGGACGAAGTGCACACGCGCGCGTCGTCGCGAGCGCATGCCGAAATCCGTCAAAAACCTTCGGTGCCGGAAGGAATTCGAAATCCAGTTTCCAAAAAACATGCAAAAACACAGGGTTTCGTAACACTGATTCGCTAAAAAGTTTTAAAAAAGCTTCCGCGCGAGCTCTTGCGAAATCGTAAGAAAACCATTGGTTTTTCAAGATGTTCACAAAATGCTACCAAACGGGCTTCGCGCGCGCGCATGTCGAAATCTGTCGAACGCCCTTGCGCGTGTGCCGTCGCGAGAATCCTTTGCAAAAAATTGGATGAAGTGCAGACGCGCGCGTCGTCGCGCGCGTATGCCGAAATCCTTCAAAACCCATCGGTTTCGGAAGGATTTCAAAATCGTGTGTCCAAAAAGCCTACAACAACACAAGGTTTCGCAACACGGATTTTCAACAAACGCGTGCGCGCGCGCTCTTGCGTCGTCGTCGTCGTCGTCGTCGCCGTCCTCTCTCCTCCCGCGTTGTCGTCGTCGTCGCCTACGTCGTCCTCTGTCTTTCCTCGTATTCGCCGTCGTCGTCCCCTTTGGCGTCGTGGTCGTTTCCGTCGTCGTTGTCGCCGTGGTCGTCCTTCCTCCTCCTCCCTCGTCGTCCGTCGTCATCGTCCGTCGTCGGCGTCTCGTCGTCGTCCCTCCTATTTCGCCGCCGTCGTCGTCGTCGTCTTCGTCGTTGCCGTCGTCGTCGTCTTCCCTCGCCGTCCTTCCTCCCTCTTCGTCGTTCGCGTCGTCGCCGTCCTCCCTCCTCCCTCGCCGTTGTCGTCGTTGTCGTCGTTGTCGTCGTCGTCGTCCTCCCTCCTTCCTCGTCGTCGTCTTCGTTGGCGACGTCGTCGTCGTCTTCGTCGTCGTCGTCGGCGTCGGCGTCGTCGTCGTCTTCGTCGTCGTCGACGTCGGCGTCGTCGTTGTCGCCGCCGTCGTCGTCGTCGTCGTCGGCGTTGTCGACGTCGTCGTCTTCGGCGGCGTCGTCGTCGTCGGCGTCGTCGTCGTCTTCGTCGTCTTCGACGTCGGCGTCGTCGGTGTCGCCGCCGTCGTCGTCGTCGTCGTCGTCGGCGTCGTCGACGTCGTCGTCGTCGGCGTCGTCGTCGTCGGCGTCATCGTCGTCGTCGGCGTCGGTGTCGCTGCCAAGTGCCATGTGGTACCTACCGTCACCGTCTTAAAAGGTGATGCAAACCAAGTTGCGGGTGGGTGGGTGGGTTGTTTGCAAGAGCATGGGATGTGTCAAATCATTGGTAAAAATCAATTGCACATCATAGACTGTGCCACGTAGATTGCACAACGTAGATTACTGGAAACACACTGTCTTGGGCCCACGTAGGCTAACGTTTATGTTCATATCCAATGCGTCTTTCTCAGAGGCCCGAGACGCACTGACGACGCAGCGAATATGGCCTGTAAGGAGGCCTGATGGTCATCCATACCCACTGTCCCGGGCGTTTGGCAACCCTCACCCGAACGGCCAAGACGCCAGGAATCTGGATCTAATCTTCACCCGCGCACCTTCCCTCTGCTTCGCAACCCTCCCCGCTGCCCCCTGGCTGCCCCACGGCGCGGCGCGGCGCGGCCCGCAGTCTGGACGCTGCAATCCGGAGCTGCGTCCGGGCAGCCCAGGAATTGCCCGAGACTTGGGACAGCTGTCTCTCTCTCTCTCTCTCTCTCTCTCCGTCTCGCTCCGCGCTTGCTCATCTGACCTTTGGGAGTATCCAAATGCCCTCGCGCTTTTCTTGGATAGAAAGACACAACGTCAGCTTTTGTGTTGCGTTTTCAGCCCCTGGAGGCCCTTACTGGACCCCGGGGCCGTCATAAAGCAACTCGGGATGAAAAGCCGAACCTGGAGAACCGTTCCAGACCTCTCGGGGCCCGCGTTGTGAAAACATCACGACGCCGGAAGTCTGGGTGCACGGTCAAGCGTTGCTGCAAGAGCCCATGTCTTCTGGGCGATGGTCTGGGCGACTGACACCAAAGCATATCGAACCCGCCGGTTAGAGAAGGGTCCCAGCAGCGCCCCTACGACATATGCCATTTGAGTGTTCATATCCGATCGAATGGCAGAGAAGTTATAGTATTCAGCACCAGTCAAAATCCACTCGCGTGCCTCAGTCGACCTTCTCGTCTCTGGCTGTCTCGCCGCAGCCAGCACACGCGCTCTCGATTCCTTCCCTCCTTTATTGGTGTCTTCCTCTCTGCGCCCCTGGCTGTCTGTGCGTCTCTCGCTTTGTCGTTCTCTCTCTCTCTCTTTTTCTGTGTTTTTTCTCCGCTCCGTTAACGATTTCTCTGCGTTGCCAGTTCTCCCACATCGCTTCCAGTCTGCAGTTCTGTATGCTTGTGTAGCAGCTTCACCGCAGAAGCAAGTCCGACCGGCGCGCTATTCACCATCATTACGTACCATCACCATTACCGTCTCCTTGTCCTCGTTCCTTGGTCACCCTCTGTGTCCACCTCGGCATGCTCCTCCTTCTGCCCCCGTTCCCCCTTCCGGTCCTCATCCCAGCCATGCCCAGTTTTCTGGATGCAGCTTTTCGTCCCGCGCACTTGGAAGTGGCGCAGCGGGCAGAGTGACACTTCCAGTTTCTGCCATGGCCAATGGCACCCAAGCGGGCAAGACGTGGTGCTGCCGCGGCCGTGCCTGCGGCTAAGGCAACAACACGTGGAGGGACAAATGTCGTATCTGTGGCGCAGGTGCTCCCGCCAGAGTCCTCCGCGGGCTCCGCCGACCTGGAGCACCCGTGCCATGGGACGACGAGGCCAGGCTGGGCGCTTGGGCCAGTGGGCCCCCGCAACTCAAGCCAGATGACGGTGCCCGCGGAGCCAAGCCATCCCCCGCCCAGTCCACAGAGCTCGTGCTCGAGGCACTGCGCGAGGTGGCCAAATCTACGGGCAGGGATATGGGAGATGCTATCAAGCACGTTTGGGAGAGGGGCGCCCAGCCTGGGCCGCCCCCACAGCTTGCCGACCTGCGGTCCAGGTCATTGCAAGATGATCAAGCAGGTGGAAACTGCCCTGCTGCGCGTCAAGGGTGCTCAAGCCAAGGCGGCTGAGGCTGAAGCAGCGGCCGAGGCTGAGCGGGACCTACAGGAGCACAGGGCCAACCTTGTCAAGCTCGGCGAGGCTATCCTCGAGGCACAGGCCAAGTCGCTGCTTCTTGAGCTGCCCCATCCGGTGGGCGAGACCAACCCCAGCGCTGCCACTGCTTGGCTCGAGGCCTTCCACAAGCTGCTGGAGCGCGGGGCGCAGCAGTTCAAGCTCGACCTCTCTGTTTCACTCGGCGTCGTCGCTTCGCAGGTGGCGGCCGCGAAGTCGGCTGTGCAGAAGGCAGCCGCCAGTCCAGCAGCTGCTCCTGTGGCTGGTCATGGTGGTGCTTGTGCTGATGCTGTCATCGCGCGACGCTTGGGTTTCCATAGGCGACGAGGCTGCGGTCAAGCGGCTCCTCGATGGATTCTCTCAGGCGGCGGGCGAGCGCGCCGAGAAGGGGCTTTGCTTTGATGTGCCCATCCTCGGCAGACCGTTGAGGCTGCGGCGCTCGTCTGCACCCGCCCTAGCCCCAGCGGCAGGGAGGCCCGAGCATCTTAGGGACCCCTGTGACGTTCGGGAAGCCATCATGGGCGGTGCGGCACGGGCGCCAGCAGCGTGCAGCGGGCACGAGTCAGATGAGGACAAGCTCGGGTTCGGCGTACGGAGTGTGAATTTCTCGTCGTGGACTTCGGGGCGGGGGCTCGTGGAGCGGGCTAGGCATGATCGTGCTGACGATGACGGTGTAGAGGCCTTGCCCCACCCTGTCAGCCTGCAGGGGCACCACATCCACAGCTTGCAGATGCGGGGGTCAGCCAGCAAGTTGGTGTCCAAGCGAGGCTTCTGGTACTCTTGGGGGCTGGCGGTGTCGACCAGCGAAGATTCGTTCAACTCCAGTGGTGGCGTTGCCCGTTCGCCCGCCGCCCCGCCGTGGCTCATGATGTGCTGCCTGCTGGCCTGCCTGGACATGGAGTATCGCCCCTGCTGGCCAATGTCGGCTTCAGCGTCCCGTTTCTACGTGATCTCAGTCTAGCTTGTGACGAGCATCGGGTTCACTGGCAGGAACCTGGACATCATGGCAGGGCCGCTCTCCTACGTGGTCAGCCTGGACGGCCCTTGGCTGGTGCTGGGACTGGAACCTCCTCGCCGCGGACGTCGTCGCCATTTGTTGTGCAAGCTGCACTATGGGATGCGCGCACGCTGCGCGACTCACAGAATAGCGATAGAAGGACGCGGAGTGAGGCCTTGGGCACGAAGAGGAACGTGGGTGGGGACGCGGGGCAAAACAAACAACGGAAAATCGGTGGGGGAGCGGCTCGAAGAAGCACGGGGGCGGGAACGAGGATTAGGAGAATGCTGGAAGTGGGGGCGGAAACCAGCGCCATGTCTCCCTGGCGTTGCAATGGATCAGCTGTTCATACCCAGGGCAGGAAGCGAGCAAGGCCTAGCTCGCACGCCAGCTTCTCCGCCTACGTCCTGAACATGTTAGCCTCCTGCGGCAGTATCATAGTTCGCAGCACCCTCGAGATAAGTCTGCGTCAGGTGCCACTCCGCTGGAGCTTGCAGCAGTCTTCGAAGGTGGCAACAGCGTCACAGTTTGAAGTTCCCCGTGCACGGCGGGTACGAATGTGAGTCTGCGTAGTGCGTCATTCCGCTGGACCTCCCAGCAACCCTCGACATTGGCGGCTGTTTCGCAATTCGCCCCCCCCCCCCCCCCCAAGGACGGCGGCGAGGTTTCATTTGAGCCTGCGTAGCACGTCCTTTCGCAGGACCCTCCAGCAGCCTTCGAAAGCGGGGGCAGTCAGATCGCAGCCTTTCCCAGGGCTGGCGAGGCCGAGGCTAAGTTTGCGTAGCGCTTCACTCCGCTGAACCTTCCAGCAGGTTTCGGAAGTGGCGACGATTCCACATATCTCAGCCCCCCCCCCGGCATGGCGAGGTCGAGTCTGAGCCTGCGTAGCGCGTCACGCCGCTGTCACCCCCAGCAGCCTTTGAAAGTGGCGGCAATCTCGCAGGTTGCACCCCCCAGGGATGGCGAGGACGAGTAATCTGAGTGTGCGTAGCGCGTCACTCCGATGGACCCTTCAGCAGTCTTCGAAAGTGGAGACACTCTCCTACTTCGCAGCCCCCCCAAGGATGGCGAGGTTTGGCATGAGCCTGCGTACATCGTCATTCCGCTGGCACCCTCCAGCAGACCTCGAAAGCGAGGGCACTTGCACAGTTCGCACCCCCCCAAGGATGGCGACTCCGAGTCTGAGTCAGCGTAGGGCGTCACTCCGCTGGAGCCTTCAGCAGCCCTCGAATGTGGCGAGAGCGTCGCAGTTTGCCCCCCCCCCATGGATGGCGAGGTCGAATCTGATTTTTCGTAGCGTGTCATTCCGCTGGGCCATCCAGAAATTGTCCGAAACTGTGACCGTTTCGCAGCTCGCAGCACCCCAGGGATGTCGATGTCGATCCCGAGTCTGCGTAACGCGTCGCCGCGTCACTCCGTTGGACCGCCCAACAGCCTTCCAAAGGGGCGACAGATTCGCAGCTCGCACCCCCCAGGGATGGCGAGTTGGGAGGCAGATTCGCAGGCAGGCGGGTGACAAGCAAGGGGCAGGAGGGAAGAGAGGTGGAGGGAAGAGAGGAGGAGGAAGGCGGGAGGATGGGGCACGGCCACAGCGCTCGATTCATAATTCGGAATGGTACACGTTAGAATGTCCGCGCGGATTTCGATGCGGAATCGACATGGCTTGCATTTGGGCTAAATTTGGCTTCGACGTGGATTCGACGCAGATGGGACGGACAAGGTCCCACGACATAAGCATACATGATTGAAGGCGTGCGCAGATCTTTCGGACCCGCGCTGGATTCCTTTGGCGGCGCCTCCGGCGCTGCCCCCGGGCGCGCCCCGCACGCCAGGGAGGGATCCAGAGCCGACCCAGACGAGGCCTCGACGCGGACTCTCGAAAGTTTCTGCTTCCGCCGACTGTCGATCTTGCAACAGACTCCCCCCGTCCCACCGCCCACCAGACCACCCCAACCCAGCCCGAAGGCCCCGACTTGCCCTCCACTTCCTGTAGGGGGGGGGGGCGTCGGGGAACATGGGCAAAACACGTATTATGAAGCCTGTGCCCTCCCGCCCCGACATTCGGGTCTTCGGGTTGGGTTGGGGTGGTCCGGTAGGTAGTCACCGTGCCCCGTCCACCTTCCAGGAGTCCCTGCGTGAGAGTACGTAAAGCCATCTCCTTCTCTATGGGGGGCGCCCCCGCTCGAAGGACGAGTCTGCCTGCTGTTCGAGCGTGCCCCCCCTTCCTCCTCCTTCTCTTCCTCCTCCTCCTCCTCCTCCTCCTCCTTCTCCTTCTTCTCTCCCTCCTCACCTCCTCTTCCGACTGCTCCTCCTCTTCCTTCTCCTCCTCCTTTTCCTCCTCATCCTCGCGCTTTGAGGAAGTGCTGCGGACAACGACGGTGGGGTGAGGTGGGGAGGAGCCAGGCGACCAAGGGAAGCAGGAGGAGGTGGACGAGGAGTGACTGGGAGAGAAGGAGTAGCTAGTGTGGGGGAGGAGAGGTTCCAAGGAGGAGGGCGAGGAGGGTTCGGAAGAGCAGGGAGGCTTTGAAGGACGAGAGGGAGATGTAGGCGGACATGTTGAAGAGAGAGAGAGAGAGAGAACAGAAGTTAGAGAAGGTGGAGATGATCAGTTCTGGAAGGGAGAGGAGGAGGAGAAGGAGGAGGAGGAGGACAACGAGGACCACGATCTGTAGGGAGAAGAGGAGGAGGACAAAGGAGATGAGAAGGAGAAGGAGGAAGGCACAGAGGGGGCAAGAGGAGGGAAGGGTGAGATGTTGGAGGGCGCGGAGACCAGACGGCTCCGTCCAGGACGCCGAAGAGAAGCTGCGCGAGGAGTGGGACAAGATCAACCCCTTCAAGATGTTCCGGTGAGCCAGCTGGCCTCCGATGTGAGCGGTTGCTGGGCCCTCGGGGCATCCTAGAGGTTCGGGCGATCGATCAGAAACAGGACCCACAAGGCCCTCTTTGCTCGGCTGCACGGTAACCTGGTGGGGGCGATCAGGGGCAGTGCGAAATCATGCGTTGTTCGAGCGTTCGGGGCGGGAGTGGGGGTGCGCAGAGGCGCCTCGGGGACGCGTGGGGGCAGCCGTTGGGACACTTTCGCGGACCCGTCTGCCCCCCGATGTTGATTTGATGCGAGGCGCATAAGACCAATGAGGCCGATGAGGCTTCTAGGCCAATGTGGCCAATGACGCACTAAGGCCCCCGCACAAGGCTAATGAGGCCAATGGTGCTGTTCGAGCTCTCCGCATAGGGCCAATGAGGCTTCTATTTGGCCCCCGCGTGTGCGGATGGATGACCACAGTCAGCGGGCGATTGATGGTAGCGAAGCTTTAATGAGCCAAGGGGGAGCCAAAAGCGAGTCCAAAGGGAGCCGTCTCTTACGACATTAACCGATCACGACAACCGACCGGTCGATGGACCGACGACGACCGACCGACCGACCGACATGACGACGGATCGAGCGCCCTATTGACAGGCCGACGACGAGGACGATGACGATCAGGACGACGACAACCGACGACCGACGACAAGACCGACCGACGGACCGACCGAGACGACGACGACCGACGGACTAGCGACCGGCCGACGACCGACAACCGTACCGACCAAGGACCGACGGACCGATCGAGACGACGACGACCGACGACGACGAGGAACGACGGACGGACACAACGATCAACCGACGACCGACAACCGCAGCGACCGACGGACCGATCGCACGCTCATGACCGCGCGCGCACTGACCCCGTTGGAGAGCGAGCCGCGGATACAATGCCAGGAACCGCGCACCCCAGGCTCGACCATTCCCCCTACCCTTGGCCCCTCCCCCTCCCCCCTGCCCAATGATAAAGCCCTGAGCATGGTTGTGTTCCAGCGGCCGATTTTCACGAGCGGAAGTGCTCCAGCCGCTCATGACGACAAGACGATGGCGTTCTAGCCCTTAGCTTTTTATTACGATGGGAAACGACGGCCGACGGACTGGCCGGCCGACCTACGACCGACGACCAGACCGACCGACGGACCAATGGACCGACCGAGACGACGACGACCGACGAAGACGAGGCCCGACGGACCGACACACCGACCGACCGACCGACCGATGACCACACCGACCGACGGACCGACCGCACGTGCACGAGCGCACGCGCACTGAGCCACGTCTGAACCACGGCCTCTACCAAAGCAGACGGACACACCTCGGCAAAGTTCTCACTAGCAAATGAGCCCACTCACTGTTGAGACTAAGGCTTGAAATTGAGGAGCAGTAAGTAGAGGAGTAGCGGGAAGAGAAGATGAGGATGAGGAGAAGCATGGGGAGGTACGGTGATGATGATGATGATGATGAGGAGGAGGAGGAGGAGGAGGAGGTGGAGGAGGAGGAGAAAGCGGAGGAGAAGAAGGAGGAGGAGGAGGAGGAGAGGGGCACGATGAGGAAGAAGGAGGAGGGGGATGTGGAGGATGAGGAAGAATATGATGATAATGTTGAGGAGGAGGAGGAGGAGGAGGAGGAGGAGGAGGAGGAGGAGGGGCAGGAGGAGGAGGAAGAGGAGGAGGAGGAGAAGGAGGAGGGGGGGAGCCCAAACCCTAGGAAATCACAGGATGTCCGCATAGCGACGGTGGTCCAACGTGGTTTCCTCTGGTACTGACAGGCCGAGAATGCAGCCATTGTGAGGCGCGTGGAGCTGGAAGAGGAGATTCCGGAATACCATACACCGAAAGCGAGACATCGTCGCGCGCGGCAGGGCGGCCGACGAATCGGCGAGCGAAAAGTGCGCGCCGCACTCAGGAGGGAGCCTAATTGAGCGACAAAAGCGGGTCATCTGCGCCGACAGTGGCGCGTAAGTTGCCCGCGTAAGTTCGCGCGTGAGCGCTCTTATTTCCAATGTGGCGTGCCGCGCTGGCGGCCCGCCGAAGCCGCGGCGTAAGGTCGCTATGTCATCTCGCGTAAGACCCGTTTTTCGTCGCCCTATTGTGGGACAAATGTGCGCGATGCTTGGGCGAGGGCCACATTGCGCCCTTTTGCGCGCGATGCGCGGCGCGCCCCATGCCTGCGACGCAGGTATTGCGCTGTCTTCGAAAAAATGCCCATGTTGGGAGGGGGAGCGTCGGCCGGTATTGCTTTTGATAGGTTGCCAGGTCCCGGGTGGAGTGGCTGTTGACTGGCCAGGTGTGGGGGCCCCCAGACGGTGTGGTGACCACACCGCGTGGTGAGTCGGCGGGGAGTCGTGGTCACCGCATGGTTTTGGGACGCGGGTGGTTCTTTGAGGACGTCTCGGGTGACGGGGGCCTCCGAGGTCCGAAGACCGTGCTGTAGCGCACTACGCGGTCCGTCACCACACGGTTCTGGGGCCCTGAAGGGTGGCAGCGTGGGAGCACATGCGAATACAGCCAAGACGCTGAAATAAGGGCCGTTTTGGGGGGGCCTGGGGGGGGGGGGCTCTGGCTGCCGGGCCGATCCTGAGGTCCGGGTCGAGGGACCTGCTCGTGGCCGAGGCTCGCCGCAGCCAGGGCAGCCCCCATTCGTGCCTCAGTCGGCGCTCTTCGTGGTAGCAGGACGGCTGATAAGGAGTAAGGACGAGGAGCGATGTTGGTCGGTCGATCCAGCATGAGGGCTCGTCTGGAAGCGCAGCGGCGCTGTGAGGGTGCGACCGGAGGGAGCCACCCGGTGTCGGCAGCAATCCTTTGCCGCCCTGCCCAGCGGAGAAGCTCCCCCCCCGTTCCCGAGACTCTAGGCCTCCCAGATGGGGTCCGAGTAGATGGGGTCGGAGGATCGCGCCGCATCGCCGATGCATCGCCGATTCGGCTCGATGTGGAGCCCGATTTTCTCCACGCCGACGTCGCTGATGCGTAGCCGACGTCGCCGATGCATCGCCAGTGCATCACCGACGCATCGCCGATGCATCGCAGATGCATCGCCGATGTATCGGCGATGCGGCGCGATCCTCCACCCCATCCAGGAGGCCTTTAGTTGCCGAGACCATCCTCCCGATCACGATCTCCCCGGTCCGTCAGCAGCAGAGCGAATGCCCAAAGCGGGCTCCGTGCGGCCAGGGCCCGGTCCCCTTACGTATCAGGAGGGGGGCGAAGTGGAGGGGGAAGGAGAGTGGAGAGGCGCGGGGGGAGAAGTAGGAAATGAGCGAGGATGCAGGAGGGAGCAGGGCGGGGGGAGGAGCAGGGCGGCGCCTCGCCTCAGACTTTGGCCTTCGTCGGTGGGCGGTCGGGAGTGGTCGCGGCCCGGGAGGCCCGCGGCGAGATTCGGCAGATCGGGGCGGGAGCAGGAGGACCATCAGGGGCAACGTCGGGGGGTGGGCTTTGGGGGAAACGTTGCGGGTTCGAGGCCCTAGGTTTTCGGACGTTTCCGTCGGTGGGCGGCGGCTTCCAGCGGCTGCGCCTCGCCGAGAGCGTTCCCCGCGGCATCGTTCCGAACGACCGCCGGAGGCTCGAGGCACGGCGCGAAAAATAGCAGGGGACAGGCTCGGGGGAACGCACCGACCCCCGATCGCCCCCTCATCGGCGACCTGGGGCCTGACAGCCTGCCCCCTCCGAGGAACGTGCGGTCTCGCCCTCGGGGGCCTGCCCCCACATGCGCCGAGTGATCCTGGGCCCGCTGTGGGCGAGGCGCGCCGGCCGAGCTCGAGCCGTGGGTGGACGCGAGCAACGCCGACCACGGCGGCGGCGGCGGCGACGACGACGGCGGCGGCGACGACGACGGCGGCGACGACCGCGACGACGACGACGACGACGACGGCGACGACGACGACGACGACGCCGACGACGACGACGACGACGACGACGACGACGACGCCGACGACCGCGACGGCCGCTCGGCCCGCGCAGCCCGCAGCGGGGCAGCGGGGCGGCGCAGCCCGCGCACCGCGCGCCGCGCGAGGCGCCTCCGCGCGGCTCCGCCCGCGGCCGGCGGCGGATGGTGCCCCCGCCGCCGCCCCCGCCGCCCGGCCACGCGCCCGCTTGCGGCGCGGTGGGCTTCCCAGTGTTCCAGGCCCTCCCCGCGGGGGAAAGTCGTCGAGGCTCAGATCGGGCCTGACGAAAGGGGGGGATTGGGAAACGGGGGGTCACGAAATCTGCTGCATGCAGCTAGTTTCGGCCCCACCGAGGGGCCCATTCCTCGATACATAGCCGCCTCCGGCGCCGGGAGGCTCCGGGAAAAGCAGCTATTGGTGGTCCCCAAACGTGGTGGTGAGAACACCCGGTGGTGAGTTTTGGGCGATTTGGGTAATGGTTTTCGAGCGCTGGCTGGCCCAGGACACGCAAAACCTCGTGGCGACCGCGTGTCCCCAAACCCGGTGGTGACCCAGAATTGTTTTCTTGGGGGAATCGGGGTCACCACCGGGTGTCTCACCACCTGGTTTGGAGACCACCAAAGCTACGTGGGCTGGTTCTCAAACCCCCTCTTTGCTATCCCGCAAAAGGATGGAGGCCGGGGCTCTGGTCGTGATTTGTTCTGCGATGGTGCAGTATTTTCTTCGCGACGCCGGATTGCAGGGTACAGCAGTAGTGGGCCTTCGGGGGCAGCCCTCGCCGCCGCGACTGGACCCAGCTTGGAAAACAGTTGCGGCTGGACCCCTGGAGGGGTCCTGGGACCGATTTTGGGCCTCCGTCGTCTCCACTCGCCTTGGCCCTCCCTGCGGGGGGGGTCGTGGAGGAGCCAGACGATGCCAAGGGGGGTCACCACCACGGGGGGTACCAGTTCCTCGTGAGCATCGAGGGTCCAGGATTGAAGCTCGAGGAGGTTTCTGCACGTCTGGGGTCGCTTTGGTGGGGCCCTGCCGAACAAGGCCAGGACAAGAACGACTCCGTTCCAGAGCATTCGGGAACGCTCTCAGAGCGCTCCGGAACGCACCGAGAAGGCCGCGGCGCCCGAGACATCCTCTAGAGCCGCCGGATCTCAGAGATTCTCGATTTATCTTTAGCTACTCTTGATTCTCTTCAGTCTCACCGGCTTTCCATTACTCCCTTTTCGGTCTCATCGGCTTCCCATTACTCCCGATCATCCTCATTCTCTCCCGATTCTCGATTCTCGATCTCAGAGATCTCGATTTTTAGCCTCGTCTTGGCCTCGTCTCGCTGGGAGCCCCTGGCGCTGCCTCGAGGAGGCGGCGGCCAATCGCGCCGCCGTCGCAGCGCCTCGCAGGAGGGGCTGGCCGCCCCCGGAGGTTCCCAAGCCATTCGAGGAGGTGCAGACATGGGCTCCGAGTGGGGACCCCAGATAAGCCGGGACCCCAGATAAAGGGGCCCGGTTAGTCGTAGGGCCCCGGAGCACCTAAATTGGCCAGAATCGCTAAACCAGGTCTGCCGTAGCTGGTGTTTTTCGGGTGACGGCAGTTCTGGTTATAGTGGAACGGGGCCCCGGGGGCGCCCCCCAGTATACATCATTAAACCAGGTCCCACTAATCCCAGGTCTGCCATTACCCGAAGGGAGGTCGGTTGCAGAATCGATTGCGAAGACCTTACGGCCAGTGCCGCCGACCCTGAAGAGGGACGTCGACGACGGCGGCGGCGGTGGCGGCGGCGGCGACGACGACGCTGACGTGGGCTCGAGTCCTCAGAGATGCTTCTTGGGGTTTCTTGGGAAGGCTCTCGGGGCCTCTGGAGAGGAAGTTTAGCGTCTCTTGGGGGCCTTTTCGGGGCCTCTTGGGGGCCTTTGTGCAGACATGGGCTCGAGTAGGGGATCGTCTATAGAATCGATTTACTCCAAGATTGATTCCCTCTCGTCGGATCTACAGCAAGCATGTGGAACTGTAGTAGATGTTCGAACATTGCACGTATGTTTCGTAGAGTCGACGAGCACATGCACGTTGGGCAAGTCAATTCTGTGATCGGTCTCCGACTCAATCGGTGAAGGCGCGTGCGTTAGCGACGGGCCCCGCTTGATTAGCGACGGGCCCCGCTTCCATACAGAATCGACCCGCTCCGCCGCCAAATCAGGTGGCACTGGCCTTTGGGTGGGGTACCTTTCCCGATCTGTGGATTCTTCTCGCCTCCAAGGGTGCGGAATGTTCGAGTACGTGAGTCTGTTCGAAGTTTGTAGAGTATGTGAGTGTGGGAGCCTTTTGGAGGCCTCTTTCGGGAATCTTTCGGGAATCTTGGGGCTGCTTGGGGGCTCGGTGTGAGCCTGCTGGGGCGTCTTGGGCCGTTGTCAGCACGGCCTCATTCAAGATGCCAGCGCTGCATAATATAAGGAGGCAGTGCTTGGGGCACTTGTGCATATCGAGAAGGAAGACAGGGAGAACGTGAGACGAGGGGACGGCCAGCACCACTCATCCACCGCCCCCCGCGGCACCTCAGGAGATGGAGGGGAATGGTAGCCACCTGGGGTGTGTTTGCCTGGTGCGACGTCCTTCGGGCGCGAAGCTCATCGCGCCAGCCCGCAACGCGGGGAGTAGACGTGTGACGCGCAGGACACGGACGCCTACCTCCACAGCCATCTGCAAGAGCTCGGAAATATATATGTGCTCCATCTCTGGCGAGTTCGCCCCTGGATCTACTCGATGATGAACTCGTCATCGCCGCCCTCAGATGATGAACTCGATGATGAACTCGATGATGAACTCGATGATGAACTCGATGATGATCTCGATGATGAACTCGGTGAGTTCGCCCCTGGATCTACTCGAGGATGAACTCGATGATGAACTCGTCAGCGCTGGCCAATTCGTCACAGATGAGGAAGCCGCCGAGCACCGCCTCGATATCCAACCCCCAGTGCCCCGTCTCGTACGACCCAGCCACCCCCAAGGGCACCATCTCGCTGGAAGCGAACGTGTACTGTTTCGTTGTTCCCTCCGCCTCGTCTAAATAGGTCGGCAAACCGTTGCCGTCGGCTGGCTCCCATTCGGTGCCGTCCTCGTCCACACGCATGCTCTTCTCGAAACCCTCTCTAGTCCGCGTCCTCGCCCAAGCCGAACTTGCACCTGCACCTCAGGAATATAATGTTGCGCATGAGATGGCTTACGAGCGCGTTCGTTTCCCAACCCTCCTGGGTTGGGTTCTTGTTTCGAATAGAGCAGTGCGGTCGCACACCTCCTCCTGCCTCCCTCCGCTCTTCCTCATTCCTCTTAGTTCGCTCTCATGCCTACTACCTGGCTTTTTCCTGCCTGCCAGCATGCGTCCCAACTCGCCGTCGCATGTGACCTCGCCATCCTTAGGGGGCTGCGAATTGCGGAACTGCCGCCACTCTGGAGGGCGGTTGGAGGGTCCAGCATAGTGGCGTCCTACACAGACTCCGGCTCGACCTCGCCATCCCTGGGGGGCTGCGAACTGCGAAATCGCCGCCACTTTGGGGAGCTCCTGGGAGGTCCAGCACAGTGACGCCATACGCAGACGCAGATTAGGCCTGACCACCCCTGGGGGGCTGCGAATTGCCAACTGGTCGCCCCTTTCGAGGACTGCCAGGAGGTCCAGCATCGTGACGTCCTACGAAGATTCAGATGCGACCTCGCCATCCGTGGGGGGCTGCGAACCAGGAAACTGTCGCAAACTTGAAGGGATGTCGGGGGGTCCAGCACAGTGACGTCCTGCGCAGATTCAGGCTCGACCTCGCCAGTCCTGAAGGGCTGAAAGCTGTGAAGCAGTTGTAACGTTCGATGGTTTTTGTGAGGGGCCCAGCGGAGTGACGTCTTCCGCAGACGCAGATTCGACTTCGCCATGCCTGGGAGGCTGCGATTTTCGAAGCTGTCGTCACTTTCGAAGCCTGCTGGCGGGTCCAGCACGGTGACGTCCTACGCAGACGCAGAGCGGACCTGACCACCCCTGGGGGGCTGCGAATTGCCAACCGGTCGTCACTGTCGAGGCCAATTTGGGGTTCCAGCATCGCGACGCCCTACACAGATTCTGACTCGACATCGCCATCCGTGGGAAGCTGCGAACTGCGAGGCTGTCGCCACTTTCGGGGGCTGCTGGGGGGGTCCTTCACAACGACGTCCTTCGCAGACCCAAGTTCGACTTCACCATCTCGGGAGGGGGGGCTACGAATTGCGAGAGCTGTAGGGGGGTCCAGCACAGCGACATGCTACACAGGTTCAAAGTTGACTTCGCCATCCCCAGGGGGGTGCGAGCTGCGATGCCGTCGCCACTTTGGAGGGCTGCTTGGGGGTCCAGCACGGCGACGTCCTACACATATTCAGATAAGACCTGACCAGCCACGGGGGTCTGCGAATTGCCAAACGGTCGCCCCTTTCGAGGGCTGCCAGGAGTTCCAGTATCGCGACATCGTACGCAGACTCAGATGAGACCTCGCCATCTCCGGGGAGCTGCGAACTGTTGATGCTTAGCGTATCCCACCAGGTTATCCAGAAACGATACCCAGGAGAATTGAGGTGACCACGGACACGTTTCGGTGTACAGGGTAGTGAGTGCCAGGGGAGGGGTAGTTGATAGCGCAAGGTTCTGCCATCGATTGTTGAGATCGCTCTCGGTCTGTAATCATTGTGGCTCTGGCTTCGAGGTCTCCTGTCTATGAGTCTCCTCACGGCATACTTCCACTGTGTGATATCCAACGCGTTGGACACCTGGCTTGGGCACTGGGTTGCGCCGCAGCCGCTCCACTGTCATTGCTCGGGTCCAGTGGTGGAGCCTGGGCTGCTCGAGCTGCCCCAGTCGCAGCTCAACAGGTGCGGGCCCGCCGAGCTCGCGCCCGCGCGCCCTGTGTGCCCGCCCGCTGGCTGGGGGGCGGGAGACGTCCTGCTCGCTAGCCTGGCGGGGCTGCTGCTCGGCGCGGCGCTGGGGGCTTGGCAGTGCAGCGGGTGCCTGGCGTGGCGGCAGGAGCCGCTGCAGGTTCACGCGCGGATGAACAGGGGTGCCGCCCCGACTGCTGAGTCCGCTGGGGGGCGTTTCGCAAGTACTGGCGGTGCAAGCTCGAGCCCGAAGGGCAAGGGCAAGAACGGGGTAATCATCCAGGGCTGAGATGGCGGTGCTAGCTGCCTGTTCCTCTGCATTCCTTTGCTACGATGGGGGCGATATCTACCATGAGAGGATTATTTTGAGCTGGGTGGCACCGAGTGAGCACGTTGTTGCAACACCTGGTCTGGACATCTTCACTGAAGAAATCGATGCTGCCAACGCCGATCTACATGGGCTTCGATTGGGGGGTGTCGACGGCCGGCTGCCCTTCGGAATGGGAGGCCAGCGGATCTACCGTGTCCAGGCGCGGCCTGCCGGTGGCGACCTGGCGCTGCTTCTGGCTGAGGGCGAGCGGCGCGCGCAGGTCGAGAGGGCCGCGCGCTGGCTGGCCGCCCCGCCGGGCGCCGCCGCGCTGGCGGGCCCGGGCGGCGTGGCTCCTGCCGCTGTGCCGACGCCCTTGCCGTTGGGGGCGCCCGTGGCGCCTGGCGCGGTTGCGGCGGTTCTGGCTCCTTGGCAGGCGGGACCTGCTGGCGCTTGGGCGCTGGACGAGCCGCCGGTCGGGCGCGAGCTGGGGCGGGGGGCCCCCTCCCCGCCCTCCGCGCTGGACGCGGGCGGCCGCGCGTTCGTCGCAGTCGACGGGGCCATCGCATCCATCTCCCCGGCGACGGCGGGGGCCGACTCCGACGCCCGGGACCGCGCGCATCAGCAGCAGCTGCCGAAGGGCGACCCGCGCCAGCTCCCGCGGCCCCGCGGCGACGCGCCCGCGGCGACGCGCCCGCGGCGTTCAGCATCGACGCGCCCATGATCATGCGGGGGCCCTCGGTGCCGCTACGTACGAAGCGCCCTGGCACGCTCCAGGACTCCGTGGGCGAGTTGAGCTTGAGGTCCCTGGGAGGCTCTACTGCTGCCCATGATCGTTGGCTGACCGCGTCGAAGGTGCAAGCTAGCTCGCGTTCGGATCATGGGCATCGCGTGCTGTGCCGAGCGCTCTCCTTCGCGATAGAGTCGGACGGGCTCAACATGTCTGAGCCGCCTCTGGATGCTGATTGAGGCCGCGCATCGCGGCGACCCTGTGCGACCTGCGTTCGAGGAGGAGGAGGGCACAGGCGTGACAGTGACGCCCGCCGTCCGGGCGCATGTTGCTTCGGAGATGGCGAAGGAGGAGGCCATCGAGGAGGAGAAGCGGAAGGACCGCGAGGCCAAGGCGGAAGCGCAGGCGGCGGCGGCCCGCGGCAAGGCCCCGTCGCCGGCGATATGGCCGCTGGGGCCCAGGGAGGCGGGGTGGGCTTGACCCGCTCTGCCACTCTGGCGACCCCCCTCCCCGCGCCTAGACTAGCCAGAACAGCAGGGACCGATGGCGGTGGGGTGATGCGCGACGCCGTGCTGCCCCTCCGTGTGATTACGCTGGACCTCGACCTCTCGGGCAGCCTGGCGAACATTTTCCGCTGCCCTGCGTCGGGGCAGAGGTATCGGCGAAGGTTTGCGCCAGCTCGTCCAGGACGGCTCGGCGCCGCAGCACGTGCCGTTGGCTGGCCCTAGACGATGCAAATGGCATGGCGGCCGCGCTCGGCGCCCTCTACGACTGCGAGCGCGTCGCGGTGGGGCCGGCGAGCCCAGCGCAGCGTTCGGTGCATCGACACATGCTGCGCACCGCCAGGGAGGCCCGGCATAAATTTGACCCACTGCTACCCCATGAAGCTGCGGCTCAGCTTCTGGGGCGCCGTATAAATTACTGAGGAGACGGCTCTACAGTTGAACCATGTGATGCTGCTCGGCTGTCTCTTCCTCCCTCTGCGCGAGACCCGCTGGACCTCGCGGAGGTGCTGGGCGATGATGCTCGGCAGGCGCTCATTAACATTGACAACCTCGTCCTCGCGAGCCCGGGCGCCGTGGCCGAGCGTAGGGGGGGCGCGCCTTCTCGCCCTTATTTCGACGTCAACTTACGGGCTGACAAGAAGGCTTACGTGGAATTTCTTCGGCGCCTGATGGATGGGCGCCTTCTCGGAGCGGCGTCGGAGATATGCGAAGTCTTGCCAGTCCCTTTCCCGCGTCAAAGAAGAACGGGCGACAGAGACTTGTTCTAGATTATCGGCTGGCCAAGTGGAGATAGGAAGTCCTGGGGCCATGAGCGCCATCGAATTAGAACCTCGGCAGGAGCTCTTCGCAGCCTCGGCCGACGTCGAGGCCTGCCTCTACCAGTGCGGCGGCATCGGCCAGTTGAGCAAGCACTTCTGCTTGCCGTCGGTGTCCGAGGAAGCGGCGATCGAGCTTGGTCTGTCCCTGGACATCAACGGCCAGGGCATTGCTGGATGCGGGCACGTCTACTTGGTGGTGCCCCCGATGGGCTGGGGCTGGAGCTTCTGGCTGGCGCAGCGCGTCCACCTGGAGATGCTGCGTCGGGCGGCGGTGCCAGACGACAATGTTGCCCTCGGGGCCTTGCCGCTGCCGTCCTTGGACCCCAGCCCAGTGGAGTTGCCCTGCTCGGACAACATCAACGCGTTGGGGGTGAAGGCGAGCATGGTGACCGAGCTGCGTGATCGCATCGCGGCCCGCTTCGCCTACAAGGGCTTCAGCATGCACGAGGTCTCGGGCACTCGCCCGCAGTCGACTATCCTGGGAGCTGATTTTGGCGGACACCCGCCTGTCACGCGGCGCTCGGGCCAGAAGCTGTGGATCCTTCGAGGTGCTCTTCAGTGGCTGGCTAGCGGCCCCATCGTTACGGGCCGACAAGTCGAGGTCGCGGCTGGGCATTGTGTGGCAGCTGCCCTTGTCAACCGAGCGGGGACGTCAGTTCCTCGCGCCCTCTATGATTTTGTCAGAGATCGCTACATGAGGCCCTGTCGTCTATGGCGTTCTTGCAGATGCGAGGCTTGGATTTGTTCGGCAGTCTGCGCGTTGCTTAGGAGCCAGCTAGATAGGCCCTGGTCGTCGACCGCGACGACCGCCGATGCCTCGACCACGGGCTCAGGGGTGCGCGAGAGAAAAGTGGAGACTTCTGAAGCTGCTGCGCCCGGGAAGTGGCATAAGAAGCGGAGGTTCAGGCGTCTACAACCCGAAGAGTGGGCCCCCCGAAGGAGAGCTCTCGATGACTTCCCCGAAATCACCGACCCCGCGTCCGTCGTCAACAACAGTGTCGTGGATGGGTGGGCCAGGGTCGAAGGGTTCTCCTCACCCATTGCATAAGGAGGGGTGGAGGGTGATCTACAAGGGGCCGCATCGGCACATCGAACACATCGGGCTGAAGGAGTGGAGGGCCATGCTATGGGCTTTGCGTCGTCTCGCCAAAGACCCTTGCCATCGCCATCATCGCTATCTATTCCTGATCGACAGTTTCAGGGTCTGTTGCTGCTTTGACAGGGGTCGTTCTCCATCGCATTGCATGCTTCAGTTGAACCGCCGCCTTGCGGCTCTGACTTTGGCCACCAACATCGGCCCGCGCTTCCGCTGGATCCCGTCGGAATGGCAGCCAGCCGACGAGGCCTCGCGAATGTTTGAGATGGTCTCTCGCTGGTTCATGCTGCGCCCGCTGAGCGCGGCTGGAGTCGCCACCTCGCAGAGGCGAGCGCCGCTCGACCCCGCCACTCCGCGCGGGGCGGCCCGCCTGCCAAGAGCGTCGGCGACGAGGGGCCTGGAGGACGCTGCGACCCCAAGCCAGCGCACAGAGCGCGCGCCGCCCCTGCGCGCCAGGCGGGCGATCGCCAAGAGGCCAGCTGCCTGCAGACGGCCTGCGGCGAGCGCGAGCTGCGCGGCGGCGCCGCCCCGGCTGCGCGCGCGGCTGGCGCGCGCCTTGGAGCCGGGCCGCAGCGGCCCCGCCTCGTCCGAGGTGCTTTCCAGGCGCGAGCAGGCCTCGGCGGCCGCTGGGACGCGCGTCGGCTACAGGGCGTGCTCCGATGCGTTCCAGTAGTTCTTGCGGGAGGTCGGCGAGGAGCCGACGACGGTCGAGGACATGGAGGTCCGCGCGCTTCAGTTCCTCGACCTGATGCTGGAGGCGGAGTGCACGAGGGCCGACGCGACCATCCTGGTCGCCGCGGTGAAGGACGCTTACCCCTGGCGCACAGGCTCGCAGTCGATGCCTCGCGTCATCCAGGGGCTGCGCGGCTGCACCATGCGCAGGCCCCCAGCGCGGGGCCACCGCGACGCCGCGCTGCAGGTGGCGTCGACATTCTTCGCGTACATCCGCCCAGGTGCTTTCCGGAAGCTGACGGTGCCGCAGCTGCTGCCAGCTGGAGCTCTGGAGTCTAATCCTGGCGCCGACCCAGCTGGGCCCGGGGGCGCCTGGTAACCCGCGGGGCGCGCACAGGGAGCTCACCAAGACGGGGGCCTCGGACGAGACTGCGATCCTCGATCACCCGGCCTGGCTGGGCGAGTGTTTGGCCGCCCACATACGGGGCAAGGCGCCGACCGACTTGATCTTCCCAACGCACGGGGGCGATCGCGGCGGCGCAGTTCGGCATGGCGGCGAGGCTGCGCGGGCCCCCCCCCGGGTCTGCCTCTACCAGCTGCGGCGCGGCGGGACGTCCGACGACATCTTGTCGGGCAGGAGGGATCACAAGACCGTCAAAGCCAGGGGCCACTGGAGGACGGACCCGTCGCTGAACAGGCACGGGAAGCCCGGAGCCGTCGAGCAATTTCTGATCACCGCTGTCTCGAGAGAGTTCGGAAAGCAACTGTTCGAGGTGATGGGGTCGCTGTTTTTTTGGCAGCGTGGCGGCCCGGGCGATCCCAAGGTAAGTAGCGGCCGCGCCTTCTCACCCTGGGGAGACTGGGGGCTGCGAGGAGGCCTGATCCTCGCCCCCAGCACCCCCAGGCCATGGTGGATTGTGGCCGAGCTGATGGCCGGCAGTCGTGGCATCAGCGTTGCGTGCAAGATCGTTGGTTTTTTTCCACTCGCAGTTGGGAGATCAGTTCCTCGAAGTTTAATGATTGTATTCGTAAAAAGGTGATCGTCTGCTCGTTTGCTCTGCTCAGAATTGTGTCGCGTTGTGCTGGATCGGCCTTGTCTGTGTGCGTCTTGGTCTCGTGCGCGCCGTATCCGCTCTGGTAAAAAAAGGGTGGCCTGCACCAGTTCGGGATCGAGAGCACGCGTTTGGCCCCCCAGGCCGTCGGATACAGATCGTCGGAAGGTCCTAGAGGGTAACAGGCAGGCTAGATGGGCGGTCGCGTTGTTTGATCTTCTCTCGAGTCGTGGTGTTCCCTGTGTGATAGAGAGTCCTTCGTCTAGCATGCTGTGGGATTTGCGTCGATTCCAGCAGTTGCTCGTGAAATATATTTCTGTGCAAATAGATTACTGTGCTTTCGGCACGCTTGATCGTAAGCGTACGACCCTTTTGTTCTCGCACTTGCCGCTCCAAGAGTTCGCAGGGGCCCGCTGCGCAGGGAGGAGTGGGCATTGTTCGTTCTCTGGTAGGCCGCACATCGAACTCGCTGGGCGCACTCCGGACAACAAACAGCTGTGGTCCCACGCTGTTTCGGCCTACCCTCCAAATTGTGGTCTCCACGTGGCCCAGTTCTTGAGTCGTTTCTCTCCCCACCGCCCGCCCATAACATGGTATGGCCGTGGGTGTTGAGGCGGACGTGGTCCGCTGATTTGCTGCAATCGGTTGATTTAAGGCTCCTTTTGAATCGTCAGAGCCAGCCGTGCTGCGCCTGCTGCGAAAAAAATGCGCCCTCGCCGCCCACACTCATGCTTCTGTGTACAGGGTAGTGAGTGCCAGGGGAGGGGCAGTTGATAGCGCAAGGTTCTGCCATCGATTGTTGAGATCGCTCACGGTCTGTAATCATTGTGGTTCTAACTTCAAGGTCTCTCTTGTCTCCCCGTCCCACCTCTCGACACGCTGTGGTGTTGAGGCAGACGTGGTCCGCTGATTGCTGCAATCGTTTGATTAAAAGCTCTTTTAGATCTTCAGGGCAAGCCGTGCTGCGTTTGCTGCGAAACAAGTGTGCCCCTCGCCGCCCACACTCATGTATGATCAAGAGAGGGGGCAGCTGTTATCTTCCAGAGAGGGGGAGGAGGAGGTCTAGGAGGAGGAGGAGGAGGAGGAGGGTGGAAGAGGACATGTAAGAAGTGGAGGAGGAAGAAGGAGAGGAATAGGCAGATAAGGAGGAGGAAGAGGGCGAACAGAAGGCCAGAGGCCTCTTGGATGCCTCTCGGGGTCTCTTGGGACGTCTTTTGGTGGCTTCCTGGGAGGCCTCCTGGGGCGCCTTAGGTGCTGCTTAGGGGCCTCTTGGGGGCCTCCTGGGTCCCTTTCGGGGCTCCCTTGGGGCTCTCTTGGGAGCCATGGAGGCCCTCTTGAGGCCATATTGGAGGAGGTCGCTCCAGAACGGTGGGAGCTTTAATTAGCACCGCCCCTCTGGAGCCCCCTAAAATCACCTCATGGAGCCCTCTTGGGGTTTCGGACAGTCATCAGGAGCGAAAAGGTGAGACAAACGTGGTTTCCTATGTTTTAGGTGGATGTTGGCATCTTGGGTGCTTCCTTGGGGATGCTACGAGGCCATCGTTTTGGGGCGGTGTTGGAGCCTCTCCTGTCACGTTGGAGGCTATCTTGAGTCATCTTGAGCCCTCTTGGATGCCAGCTTGGGCTCTCTAAGGCCCTTTTGGGGCCATCTTGGGCCATCTTGGCCGCTCCAAGCGGTCGCGGGGCGCCCAGTCCAGGTCCAGGGGGAGGGGGGGGGAGGCGTAAACCCATCCTCAAAGGAGAAGAGGGGAATACGGAAGAGGAAATACCCTAAACCACCTACGCCCACAGGGCTGGTGGGATTGCAAAGCCGTCGACGCTTTCGAGGGCCGCTGGGGAGTCCGACACAGTGACGTCCTACGCAAATGCAGATTCGACCTCACCATCCTTGGGGAGGCTGCGAATTGCGAGGCGGTCGACGCTTTCGAGGGCTGCTGGGGAGTCCAGCATAGTGACGTCCTGCACGGATTCAGATTAGCCTCGAATTCATGTATTGCGGGCCGCCCGAAGACATGGCGGCACGCCTGCGGGCGTTTAGTCTCCGCAGAGAAAGGGTCAGGAAGGAAGCTGAGAGGCTCGCGGGCGAGCACGGCCTCGTTCGCTTCTCGCTTTGGCTGCGAACAGCTGGTCCGTTGGAGCGCCAGAGCGGCATGGCGCGGTCCGCGTGCCACTGGAAAATTATGTCCACCTTCGTTCCGCATTGTGCCTCTTGCGTTGTCGTCCTCTTCCTCCTTCAACCGTTTCACTTCTGCTGTCGCGTTAACTTGTCGGCCCTCGTCCGTCCTTCACTTGTTCCTTGTTCCCAGTCCTTTTCCCTCTTCGAGCCTGGGGCCTCAGTCCTCATCCTTCTGTTGCTGTCCTGTGAGCCGTGTGCTGTCCTGTGAGTCGTGCAACGCGTGCGCTTCCCAGATAGCTTGTGCAACCACTGACAGATCCAGCGTTTGTCATCAGCCATACTATTCTGGACCAACTCCTCTTGCCACGTCATGGAAATAGGCTAGGTACGTCGTAGTTATCCTGGGGGGGGTCATCGGCAGCGAGCGACCCCTCGTCCAAGTGTCGGTTATCAAATGGGCGCCAGTTCGCTCCGAGATCGGGTGGGCAGTACCAGGTGGCTGCATATCGTTCCCCCTTCTCGGATCCCGACGTGCGAAACTCGTTCAAGGCCAGAGGCTTCCGAACCCTGCTGGAAGAAGGGCCCTTTTATTACCTGCGGTGCCAATACGGATCTTTGCATCGTGCGCGACGACCAGGTATACGAGCATGCAGCTTGCATCCTTACAGGAATGCGTCAAGAAGAGCCTGCGTCCGAAACCTGTGTTCCAAAAGCAAACCAAACAGGCGAGTCGTAGGTCGTGCGATGGATTGCGGCATCATCCGGCGTCAAGCGAAGATGCTTCGCGATCTGGCGAGCCTAGCACCCTTGCCAAGAAAGATAAATCGTCAAATGATTCGCTCGCCTTCTTCATATCATGCCCACGCTATCAAAAGTGATGTCCAGGACAATGCTGGACAATGTTCGAGATGCGCCATTCAGTGCAGTGGACAAAGCACCGAAAGGATCGGCTAAAGCTTAGCAGTTTGGGCTTGTTGATGTTGTTGGCAAAGTGGCGTTGGCAGTGAAAGCAAGGCATTATCGTGGCGTCTATTGTTGTCCCAGGCGCGCTCGGAGCTTACAATGTCAAACGCATCAGCACTTTCGGAGCACTTTCGGCAGTACAGTGTCCCAGGGGAGCCATGTTCCGATAGCTTTTGGGCTCACTATTCACATCGGAGTTGTTCGGCATGGTTATCGTCTGCGATTTTTGGGCAGGCACGCACCGAACCCGTATTACGCAGCGGAATCAATGTCGCCCAGTCTTTTTCAGTGATGTGCTGGAAACGTCCTTCGCCAGTTTTGGAAACTCGTCAAACCATGATTTGGGTGTCCAACTAGTTCTCATTACCCCAGTCTCACCACGCAAAGCACGATTGTGTGTTGTCGTGTCAGTCGTATTGCAGACCGTCCGTTGTGCATAGCGGCGGCATGGGACACCCACAGACACACACACACACACACTCACATACGTTCGCACATGCGCGCCATGTTCATCTTTCATAGGGGGCGCGTTGGTAGAGTACGGAATGAGTTTGCCAATGAGTTGAATTAAGGGGAATTCCCAAGATCCCGCTCACTTTGCGCAATCCTGGGCAGAATCGTCGCGTCTCTCTTTTCAAACGTCTTCTGCGGTGCTTTGGGACTCATTTGCAGCGCATTTTTCGAAATAAAACGCGATACGTAATGCAACATGTATGCCGTAACATCGTGCCTACCAAAACACTCCTGACACATTATCGCACGGGTCATCCGCGAGACAGAGCCGGTTTGATCTCATCCTCCGCATCTCTGTCGGCAGTAAGCGTTGAGAACCACCACTGTGGACAATCAGTCAGAGAGCTTTATCGCGTATCTGTGAGGTTGAGAGCACATGTTTGTTCAAATATCTCCGGCTCCCCCGAGAACTGGAGGGGAAGCCGACGACGGTCATGCGTGCACGGCGGTAGCGCAATACGTTCTGCGAGTATGAACCTAGAGCGGGCATTGTCGTTTTTGATGCCGTGATCGCTCGCAGATTTAGTTGGCATCTCGGGCATCTGGTCAAACATTGCCCGAGAGAGTTAGATTTTCCAACCGAGTTCTGCAATGGAGCCAGCATGGGGTCGCAATTCCCAACATACGCTTCGGTTGGGGGGGCGTTCTGACCGCCAGGGGCTTCGGGCCAGGCTCACATGGTGGCACTGGGAATCGCGAGTGGCACCTGCTTTATATTGTTCGATTTGAAGTTTGGTAGGTTCGAAGAGGCGCAAGAGCGCCGCTGCTGGAAAGCATCGGAGCCAGCTTTTGCTACATGCAGCCGCGGCGGACGCAGCAGCACTGGTGTAGCTATCGGGCCCCTGCGCCTCCTATGACACGTTGCGTGCGTACGTGCGGCCCCGTCCTCCGTGTCCTCTTCTTCCTCCTAGCCGTGAGCCGCCTCACGACCATCGATACTGCATCGTGTCTCACGCTTTGTCGGCTGCCGCTGTGTCTGTCATTCCAGGTTTCACCGTCGGCGTCAAAAGGGGCAGGAGGCCGCGAGGTCCCTGGCCGTGGTCGTGGACGATTTATATTATGTCGTTGCTCTTCCCTTTCTCCCACCCATCCGTTCTCCTGATCCTCCTCCTCCTTCTCTTCGTCTCCAAAGTCTTACTCAAGAGGCTTACACCAGTCCGCCGACCCCCAGTAGTGAATATAGATGTCGACGGAAGTCGTAGGAGGGAGGGTCGCGGGGGCCGCGTGGCGATTTCGAGAGGGTGGGTACCTTGAGCCACTCTGTTTTGCTTGCGTATAAGTTGCTGCTGATTCGTCCTGCACTGATTAAGTTCGGCCTCTCGACCCTAACGTTACACATTGCGTTCCCATGATTGTATAAACAGTCGCGGGAAGGTGCCGATTTTGAATCACGCTTGGGAGAGCTTCACTTGGATAGCGCGCGGCGATCATAGAGCAAGCGTCGCAGAATTGCAGAGATAGCATGAGCTGCGCCTGTTGAAGAGCCTTTTGGGGGCCTTCTGGGGGACTTCTTGTGGGGGGCCTCTTGGAGCTTCCTCCTCTTCCCCTCCTCATCCTCCTCCTCCGCCTCCCAATCGCGCGGATGAAAATATGATCGAGATGAACGACCCTCCCCAGAGTTCAGACCACTCGTGAGCATTGTGTCGTTCTTGCACTCAGTTTCCGTCCTGCTGCGTTGGTGCACAGGCACGGCGGGGGGGGGGGGGGCGCAGGCAGCTGGATAATAAGCTCTGCGATGCTACGGCATGATGGACTCTGCTGTGGTGATGCTGCGAAATGCCGTGATTCAAGTCTGCAGCTCTATGCGACGTCATCAAATTCTACGCTATCAATTGGTCAAGTAAGTTGCCGCCACGTATCCACCTATGGCATGCCATGGTATCCTGTGTTATGCTCTGCCGTTCCTGTGCTATGCTCTGCCTCCTCCTCCTCCACCTTCTTTTCCTCCATGCATGCCATCCGCTCCTTACCCGGATGCGGGCACAGCTCTGCTGGAAGCAGGGCGAGTCAGGTTGAGAGCCACCGACGTTACATGACCCACGACATCGTGATGGATGTTGGATTGCTGTCGCCACAGGGTTTGTTGCAAGGCGTTTCAGAGCAGGTGAGATAGGCTAGCGGCAGGATCAGGAGGTGGAGGAGGAGGAGGAGGAGAAGTGGGAGGAGGAGGAGAAAGAGGACAGGAAGCAGCTAGAGTGGGGAAGGAGTTTGGGAGGCGGAGCGGGGGTGATGAAGTGGAGTAGCACGAATGGGCGGTTAGGATGAACAAGAGGAGGAAGATGAGGAGGTGGAGGAGGAGGAGAGGGAAGAGGATGATGATGATGAGGAGGAGGCATGGAGGAGAAGGTGAATAATAAGGAAGATGTCAGTGAGAGGGAGAGCAGGAACGCGAGCAGAGAGAGAGAGAGAGAGAGATGCAAGAGGTGGAGGAGGTGGAGGAGGAGGAGGTGGAGGTCACGTCGCCGTAACTCCTTCCCCCTCTTCCGCAGCTCTCGTTCGTTGCCCCCCGCCTGCTGAAGGGCGAGGGCACAGAGCTCACCCAGCGCGCGGTCGATGACTTCCCGTGGGTGGACTTCAAGCGCGGCTCAGGCCCGCGGGTCACCTCTCTCTCTCTCTCACTCTCTCTCTCTTTCTCTCTCTCTCTCTCTCTTTCTCTCCGTCTCTCTCTCCCTCTTCCTCAGTACGTGTCTCGATCTGCAGATGCGTGAACAAGATATTGCCCGAACAGCGCTTGCACTTATAGGCTCTTGCTTCGTTGTCTAAGGGAACTGAGCCTGGGTGCCAGTCTAGCGGCTCCGTGGCCGCCATCGCCGCCCTGTTGCCGCCTCGTCGTTGCCCGTCGTCTGGGCGTGGGTGCCCGTCTTCGAACGCCGTGGTCGCCGTCGCCGCCTCGTCGCCGCCATGCCGCGGCCCTGGCTTGCACAGCATGGATTTCATTGCAAAGATTGCACCACATGGATTGCACCAGATACATTGCACAACATTCACTCTCTTTACTACGAAGAAAATAGACTCCACCCTCCCGGGGCCGGACTTATGGGCACACCATGGGGATTTGCATGTTATAAATGATTCTGCCCCATCGTCCACCCGAAATAAAAAGTCATACCATCTCAGCCCAGCTTGTACCCGCCCCCCCCCCGCCATCCTGCGCAAATAGTACTATGCGCGCGCACTCGTTCATCACAAATCATCAGTGTTCAAGGTTCCCTTGCAATATATGAGACACAGAGCAACCGCGCGCGGTGTCGCGCGCGCGTGCCGAACTCCTTCAAACACCTTTCGTTTCGTACGGATTTCAAAAGTCGAGTGTTCAAACAATAAATAATAGACAAAGGGTTTCGCAACACGGATTTCAAAAAAAAAATGCGTGCCCGCGCGCTCTTGCGAGTTCTTGAGAAAACCAATGGTGTGTTTCCTTTTTGTTGGAGAAAAACGGCCAAACGGGTTTCGAGCGCGCGCATGTCGAAGTCGTTCGAACGCCTTGGCGCGCGTGCCGTCGCGAGAATCTTTTTTGCAAAAAACGGGGCGAAGTGCACACGCGCGCGTCGCTGCGCGCGCATGCCGAAATCCGTCAACAACTGCTGTTTTCGTAGCGATTTCAAAAACCGAACCTCCAGTACAACGCACAGGGTTTCGCAGCATTAGTTTTCAAAGAAGCCTGCGCTCGCGCTCTTGCGACTTCTCAAGAAACCCATGGATTGTTCAACATGTGCATGAACATTCTGCCAAACGGGTCCCTCGCGCCGCATGCCGAAATCATTCGAACGCCTTTGCGGCTACTCTCGCGCGTCGGCCGCACGCGCGTGCTGAACTCCTTCCAAAACCTTCATCACCGACGCAAGGACGCCGTCATCGTCGTCGGCGTACTCAGCATCGGCGCCGTCATTGGCCTCGTCGATGCCATCATCGTCACCATCGTTGCTATCATCATCATGTCTACCGTCGTCGACGTTGCCATGATAGTGCGCCCGCCCAAATCACCGACCCGCACTGAAGTGCCCGCTGGGAAGTCCCAATTGGTCAGCGCCACCGCGGCCGCGTCGGTTGGCCGTTGCGCGCGCGAGCATGCGCGGGCTACTTAAAAACAATGGAATCAAAGTATACCCCCCCGGATGATCCGTTCTCTTTTTCGGATTGCAATTTACATAATGGATATCCCCATTCCCCCCTCGAAGTTTACGATCCCCTTTCGCGACACGCATTGTATTGATCATCTTGCCCCATCGCCCACCCTAAACAACCGAGCGATATTGACCCCCTCCCCCGCCATCCCCTGGAACAAAAGGCTATGCGCGCGCATTCGCCCATGACAAATCATCAGCTGTCGAGAACCCCTTACAACAAAATGTCACGAAGTGCGCGCGCGCCGTCGCGCGCGCATGCCGGAATCCTTCAAAAACCTTGGGCCTCGTAAGGATATCAAAACCGAGCGTCCACCAAACATTGTAAAACATGGTTCGCAATATCAATGTCCAAGAAAGCTTGCGCGCGTTCTTGTGATTTTTTTTGAGAAAGCCATGTTGTTGTTTTCTATATGTTTGTAACATGCGATCAAACGGAACTCGCGCGCGCATGTCTAAATCGGTCGGACACCCTTTGCGCGCGTGCAGTCGCGAAAACCCATTGAGCAAAAATGACGAAGTGCATGCGCGCGCGTCGTCGCGCGCGCATGCCGGTCGGCTTCGCCAGGATTTCCAGACCGAGTGTCCCGAAACAATAGAAACACATGCGGTTTTGCAACATATGTTTTTAAAAAAGCTTGCGCTTGCAATATTTACTTGGGGGGAACCATAGGTTGCTCAACATGTCCATGGGATGTTGCCAAACAAGCCTCTCGCACCGCATGCCGAAATCATTCGAACGCCCTTGCCCGCGTGCTGGAGGGGCACGACCCGTGTCAAGTAATGCAATGCGGGCCACCCTCCCGCATCGGCATCGCGCGCATGTCGAGCTCCTTCGAAGCCTCCATCACCGACGCGAGGGCGCCGTCATCGTCGCCGGCGTCATCAGCATCGGCGCCGTCACTGGCCGTGCCGTCGTCGCTGCCAACATCGTCACCAGCACTGCCACGATCATCATCGTGTCTACGGTTGTCGGCGCTGTCATGATACCGCGCCCGCCCAAGTCGCCGATTCGCCGTGAAGTGCCCGATTGATGTGCCCCGCGGTCAGCGCCACCGCGGCCGCATCGGTCGCGCCAAACTAACTGGCCGGTGCGCGCGCGTGCATGCGCGGGTTGGCGCGGCCGCAGAGGTGCACCAGCCAGCGCCAGGCACTCATCGCAATCGCCGCCGCGTGGGTTTTGCAAAGCAAGGTTGCGGATGGGTGGGTTGGATGTGTCAATCCGTATGTAAACATCAATAGCACCGCATAGGGTGCGCCACTTGGATTGCGACACGTAGATTTCAAACCATGGATCGTACCGCACTACGCCGGTTGCACAATGTTGGTTTCTTCCTGAAGAGCATTAGGATTTCCCCCGTGCCGCGTGGAGTTAACGATCCCCCCTCGCGATATATGTATGTTACATACGATTGTGCCCCATCGTCCATCCTGAATATGGACTCGTACCACCCCAGCCGAGCCCGTGTCGACCCCCCCCGCCATCCTCTGCAACATACATGTTGTGCGCATTTTCGTATATCCAACATCATCGGTTTTCAAGAACCCGTTTGCAAACACATTGACGAAGTGCACACGCGTGAGACGTCGCGCGCGCTGTCGCAGCCAGCTTCTCCATGGAGGGAGGCCAAAGTCGAGCCTTCCAATGCCAAGTCGAGTTCTCCTGAACTGCATTCGTCGTCTATACGACAAACCATCAGTCGTCGTCTTTCTCATCCGTCCCCCGCCCCTCTTCACGTGTTCGGCGTGTCTGCCACGTTACCGTGCCTTGGCGATGTTGTCCCCCCTCCTGTTATGCACGCGGTTACCGTGCTCGCTTCGTTTGGCCGCAGCACCGTGCCACAGGTTCGCGCATTGTTTCTGTCAGTCCGTCTGTTTTTCCTTCAGCCATGAGCAGAAGGGGGGCAGGGGGCAGGGGAAAGTTTCTCGGGAGCACCCCTGCTTCTTGGAAGGCGCGGGCCTTGTCTACGGATGTGGGGCTGGCGCGTCCCATGAAGCAGCCTCTTTCAAGAAGCCTTCACCCCTCCCCCCCACCTCTCCGTGCGCGCCGCCAATTTCCGCAGGCGTGCTCTGGGGGCGAGGTTCCGCCCGCATTCGCCAGAGGCGCCCCCGCGCGAGGCCGCGTGCAAGCGACGAGGCGACAAAGCCCAGGAGGAGGCGCCCGCGCGCACGCTGGCGGTCCGCGAAGCGTGGCCACACCGAGCTCCGCCGCTGGATTTGATCCGAAGTGTGTGTGTTCCGAGCGCACCCCGGGATGCGTCCGGGGAGTTGCGGTATCAGTGCTCCTGGTTCCCCAACATTTCCACCACCACTATCTCCTTCACCTTCAACATTCTGCTGGTCTGTCTGTCTGACGTCTCCCCGCCCTGGCGCAGGCAGCTTTGCCGTGGAGGGGGGCCGCAGCGAGTGGAAGCCGATCGGTTCGGGTTGCAAGGACGGCGTGGCCGTGTCCATGCACGCGCGCCGGCTCCAGGCCAGGGGGGGCAGCCTTTGGGGGCGCTTGCTAGGCCCTGCAGAGAGCATACAAACGCGCACGCTGCCCAGAAGGCGGTGGTGATGATGATGATGATGATGATGATGATGATGATGATGATGATAGTGATGATGAAGGTGGCGGTGATGGTGATGGTGAGTATGAGGATGAGGATGGTGATATTGTTGATGTTGATGATGTTGATGCTGATGCTGATGATGCTGATGATGCTGATGATGCTGATGATGCTGATGATGTTGATGGGGATGCAAATGATAATGATAGCAATGATGATGCTGATAATGATGATGATACTGCTGATGATGATAATGATGATGGCGATGATGATTCCGATGCCGGTGATGATGCTGCGTATGATGATAATGATGATAATGATGATGATGATGATGATGATGATGATGATGAGGATGATGATGATGATGATGATGATACTGATGATGATGATGGTGATGGTGATGCTGATGATGATGATGATGATGATGACGATGATGATGATGATGATGATGACGATGATGCTGATGATGATGATGACCATCATGTTCATCATGAAGGCCATGGCAAGGATCATTACCATGATGATAATGTCAACGAAGGTGATGAGTATGACGACGATGATGTTATGAGTGTGTGCGAGGATGCGAGAAAGAGGAGGAGGAGGAGGAGGAGGAGGAGGAGGAGGAGGAGGATCAGCAGTAGCAGAGGAGGAGAAAGAGGGATTAGGCGGAGGAGGAGGAGGAGGAGGAGGAGGAGGAGGAGGAGCAGGCGTGGGAGGAAGAAGAGCAGCTGCAGAGGCGGAGGAGGAGTAGGAGGCAGAGAGGAGAGGGTGGGTGGACGAGGGGCAGGATAATCAGGAGGAGCTGGACAAAGAGGGGCAGCAGTAGGGACAGATCAGCGGTTGCCTGCACGGATCAGAGAAGCAAGTCGTGGCACTCGAGGAATCAAGTGTTTGTGTGTATGTATGTGATTGGCTGCACGTGCCGTTTCTGCCCCCGGCGTTCGACGCAGGACAAAGGCGGCCTTAGCGAGTTCTTGATCCGTGGTAGCCTGCCCATTTCGCGGGACAGCTACTTCGTGCTGAACGCGGACCTTGCATCGCGGCTGCTGCTTGCCGACATGCATGCTTCCCGCATCCCTTGGGGCGGCTACGCGGGCCTGTCCACTTCTCCCCTCCTGGTAACGGCCGACATGCACAGCACGAGCCCAGAAAATGGGCCCGCTGGAGTTTGATGAGAGAAGACCCACCGAAGTATAGGATGATGGTGAGGAGGAGGAGGAGGAGGAGAAGGAGGAGGAGGAGGAGATGGTGGAGACCCCTCCCTCCCCCTTCTCCCGACCCCGTCTACCTCTCCTCCCCTCTCTCCCTTCAACTCCCCCCCCTCCCCCGATCCACCTGATGAGGTGGAGGAGGTCGTAAACCGGTGTAAGCCCAAAACGCATCAGCGATGCTGCAAAAAAACCATCGCTCCAAGTTCCTTCTGGCCCTACAAGAATTCATTGTCATCGTGGGAAGTGACCCATTGGAAGATGACCGTCTTATGCAGGATGAGTCGGCTTGCAGGGGGGGGCGGGCGCGGGGGGGGCGCCAACGACCGCGCCGATTCCATCGCGGCCCGCTGCCCCTTCCCGGGACTCTCAGGAATCCTCTGGGCCCAGTCGGCCTCGCAGTCGGCGCCGGCGTCGCGTCGCCCGCGAGCGCCAGCCGGCGGGCGGGCCGACCTTGCTGCGCATGTTTGGCGCGAGAGACCCGCGCGGGCTTCGCGCTGTGCCCGCGCCCCAGGGCGACGGCCCAGGCCCTTGTAGCCTCCCGCGCTGACGCGATGGCCTCGCGCGCGGCGCAGGAGCGGGCGCCGCCGACCGTTCGGTTCGTTTCCGCGCACTTCTCATGCGAAAACGCAAAGCCCCCCATGCTGCTCGCGCGCTTTGCGCGCTGAGCAATGCGATGCAGTTGCGACGGCCGCGCGTTCAATTGGAAACCGCAACGCAAGTTTCCATTCCCGCGCGCGGCGCGCGGGGCGGGGTATGAACCTACAGATGCGCCGACGGTCGAGAACTCGCGCGCGCGCCCGCGCCTGCCATGTTGGGCGTGCGCACTGGGCCCGGAAATCTGTGGCTCGGCCGCCCGACGCGCCCCAAAAATCGCTCCGCCTCCCCCCCCGCCCCCCTCCCCCTCAAAACTCTTCCGCGCTCCTGGAACAACCGCGCCGCCGAGGCGGGAGCTCGGGCCGCGGCCTGATGGTCCCTGGGGCACAGGGGAATCAAAGGAATCAGCACGGAATCAGTACAGAATCAAAACAGAATCGGCACAACTGCGACCCCTGATTCTAGCGGAATCAAAAGAATCAGCACGGAATCGATACGGAATCAAAGGAGGAATCGGCGATGGAACCAGAATCGGCCAGAACAGGGAAGTAGGCCAGAATCGGTGCCAGAACCCATGGAGAGAGGCCTTTTTCCCGCGAGTTCATTGCGGCGGGTCCGCGGCGCGGGCGCGCCGCGCGACTTCGCTGGTTCAGCGAGGCGCGCAGTCGGTGTTCAGAGTGAACAGGTTGTTTTCAGGGCGATCTCCTGGCGGCGCGCTGACGCATTGCGCATTTGCGTATTCCTGGCGGGCTGTTTGAGGGCGACCCAGCAGCGTCGGCCGAATGGCCCGCAAATGCCGCGCGGCCGATCGCGCGCCCCATGCGGCCACGTCGACCGCCGTGTGCCGCGACGGCCGCGCGCCCCGGACCGCGCCATTGCCGCGTTGGATTGGACGGCGCAGCGCCCGTCCTCCAAAAGTCGTCACATGCATATCGCGCGTGTCGAGCCAGCAGCAATCGCTCCCAGAAGCAGCCCTGACAGGCGCCCCATGCCCGTTGTCGCCCAGTTCCGATCCAAATTATAGTTTCTTAGGATGCGCTTGCGCGAATGTGAGCGCGCGGGCAAGTAACGCGTGCGCGCGCTTGGCGCAGCCTGGGAAATTCAACATGGAGCCCCCCGGGGGCGCAGGGCGCCGGCGACGCCTCCGCCCGCCTCCCGCGCGCCCGACCCCCCCCGCAAGCCGACTCCTCCTAGCAAATCGAGGTTCCAATGAATTCAGCGTCCCGAATCCCGTACATGTGAGCGTTGCGCCTTGACTGCCTTGAATCGCGTCAGGACGCCATTCTTGGGATTTCAACACCACAAAAGAACGAGACTATTTGTTCCTGACAATCTTATCATGTCAACACACCTCTCCTGAGACTTCAACCATACAAATCCTCCAAACTGCTGCGAACCTTCAGGACGACCGCGCCTGGCGCTACGGTGGGAGCAACAGCTTGAAAAGGAACTGCCCTCCATCTGCAAAGCTGGTGCAAACTCGGAAAACGCTTCGCGTGGCACGAAGGCGAGATCCCCATTTTGAGAACGGCGCGGCATCCATCTTGAAGTTGCGTTACACGGTTGGGCGAATGCGCGCGACGTTGAGGCGAGATCCACATTTCGAAAACGGTGCACCCCCCATCTTTGAACGTGATGTAAACGTTTACGACAAATGCGCGCGGAGCTAAGGTGAGAGCCACATTTTGAAAGCAACCCGCCCTCCATGTGTCAAGCTGTTGCAACTGTCAAGCTTCAGGGTCAGTAGCGGTGAGGGAGATTCGGCGATCCCCCATGCCCGCCGCACCGGCACGTCAGGGGGTGCGACATGGGGGAGGTGCTTATCTGGAAAAGGGATGGAGGAGGGTGACACGAGGAGGAGGCGGTGCAGGATGAAGAGAAGAAGGACCTCCAGTCCCCTCAGGGATGTGGAGACAAAAGAGCGACGATCAGACGTTTGATGTTGCTCCTCCGCATTGTCAGCTGCATGGCGGCACCGAGCAGATCCACGAGCATGTGAATCGCTTACACTGACGCATCGACCGACGGGGCCCGAAAATGGGCCCGAAAAGGGACCCTAGGGGGAAAAGCGCCCAGATGAGCCAGAGCTCGACTCCCGGGCCAGTTTTGCGCCCGGGGTCCATGAGTGAAGGCCCCAGGACCAGGTTCAGTATCGTTCAAACGACCCCCATCCCCATCCCCATTCCCTTCGAGACCCCCACCAATTTACCACCCCAGTTGGGGATACACCCCTCGAAACCCGAAGGGCACGACTTATATCCCCATCTAGGGGGGTAAATCGGCCAGTGGGGCCCAGGCCACACCGCTGAGGGATGGGGATCGGTCAAACGATGCTCACAGGTGGCCGAAATCACAGAAAATCGCCAGCCGAGCCTTGGCCCCGAGTTTTGCGCCACGGGTTCAGCCGTGGTGGTCCCGCGGGTTGGGGGCCGAAGCCACAGAAAATCGCCCAGCCGAGCCAGAGTCCCGACCTTGTTCCCAGGGCCAGTTTTGCGCTCTGGGGCCACTTGTGATGGCCCCGCGGTTTGGAAGCCGAAATCACGGAAAATCGCTGGCCGAGCCAATGATTTCGATCTTGTCCCCGGGGCCGGTTTTGCGTTGTGGACCCACTGCTGATGCCCCCGAGATCGAAGGGGAGCGCGCGTTCCCCCGTTCCGTACGCCTCGAGTGCCCCTTGTCGTCCAGCTTTCGGGACGCTCCGGGCGTCAACAGAACGCTCTCGGCGAGGCGGCGCAGATGTTGGACACACATCCCGAGGTTGGAAGTCGCAGAGAAGCGACGAACATGTAAACAAAAACTCCCAGCGACGCCCCCAGAAGCCGAAATCGAGGGAAATCAATGTGGCTCCCCAGAGGTCCGTTCCTTTTCCTGGGGGCTAGTTCTTGGTCGTGAGTTGTGTGTTTGACGGTTCTGGGGCCAGGTGGAGGTCACAGATGCCGAAAATTGCCAAGCACTGTTCGTCGTGTTTTTTTTTCGAAGCGAGAATTTTTGGGAAGCGGCCCCAGGGACCGAAATCGACGGGAAATCACCTGGATGCACAAAACCAAATCGTCGGAGATCTCGGTCTTCCGCTCGATCTTTCTCCTTCTCTTCCTCCGTAGCCATTTTGGCTCATGGTGGAAGGCTCCCAGCGGAGCCAGACGGATACCATTAGTCCGCTGCCAGACTCCTATTCCTCACGGCTTGGCTGCCCAGGTCTGGATCCTGACACTGGAGTGTGTGTCGGAACGGTTTTGCGCGGCAGTCTGCCTTTCTGGCACCGTCCGGCGAGGGTAAGGTGAGGCATCTCCAGTTCCGTCCCCAGCCAGTGCCGATCCCAGAGAAGTCCAAGAGGGACCAGAAGGGCACGAAGGGTGGGAAGGATGCTGCGGCTCCTCGCCGGTCTCGTCGGCACGGTGCCAGCGACGGCCGCATGTCGGGGTTCACCGCCGATGGGGCCCACCCCGCCTGCGACACCGCGTCCTGCGGCATGCGGGCGTGCAGGCAAGCAGCGCGGTGCAGGGGGGCGGCGAAGGCACTCTCTGGGCAAGGATCGAGGAGCGAGAGAGGACCTCGGTGGCCCGGCGCGGACCTGCGTCGTGGTGGCCACAGCAGCGAATTCAATGTTGCCGCCCGTGATCGTGAGGAGGGCGGCTCCGCATTCGTGTCCGCGTCCCTCGAGGCTCCAGCCCTGCCCTCGCCCGCGTCGCCGCGGCATGCCGCATACTCCTGTACCGCGGAAGGAGGTGCAGCCTCTCACCCATTGCCCTGGCTCTTGCCGCCTGGCGCAGCTTCAGGTGGAGCTCAACACCATCTCGCTGGCCGTTGGAGGGGTGCCCCACGTGTTGCGCCAGCTGATCAAGATGGACCAACGGACCCGTGGACTCCAGGCAGTGTGCGGGTTTGTTTGATCAGATGCGTGGTGTGCTCGAGGATCGCGTCGAGAAGGTTGCCCGTGATGAAATGGTCTCGGCGGTCGATTCAGAACATCGCCTGGAATGCCTTGCTGCCAATCTCCAGGAAGTTCGAGGAACATATTTAGGCACAGTTGCCAGAATATGTTCGACGTGGGGGGGCAGTGGAGTACGACATGGTCGACACTCGTGAGATCCAGGCTTTGTACGAGGAGGGACTCAAGGCCCTTGAACAGTACTTGGATCTTACACGTAAAAGACCACAGGGTCCGATTGCTCGCGCTGCAGAGTGAGAGCGCCACGGCGACAGAACTGGTCTCCTGGTGCGCG